ACAGAAGCCTGCTCCCACTCCTCTTGTGTTGCTGCAGCTAGAAGGAGATCATGTACATATTGGAGGAGGGTCACTTCTGCATGTCTAATCCGGTATTCTTGGATGTCTTCTCCCAGGGCCTCATTGAAAATGGTGGGGGAGTTTTTGAACCCCTGGGGCAGGTGAGTCCAGGTCAGTTGTTGTGGTGTCCCCTGCTCATTATCAGTCCACTCAAATGCAAAGAGGTCTTGGCTCCTGGGGGCCAGGGCAAGGCTGAAAAAAGCATCTTTTAAGTCTAGGATGATGTACCACACTTGTTGGGGCTCTAGGCTGCTGAGAAGTGTGTATGGGTTCGGGACAGTGGGATAGATGTCTTCTGTCCTGGCATTAACAGCCCGGAGGTCTTGTACTGGGCGGTAGCCCCCTCCTGGTTTCCGCACAGGGAGTAGCGGGGTGTTCAAGGGGGATTGACACTTTTGCAATATTCCCGCTTTCAGTAGACAGTGTTGTGGGGGGAGATCCCCTGTCAGGCTTCCCAGGGAATTGGGTATTGCCTTACCCGAGTCGGCGCAGCTCCCAGCTTCAGGTGGATAATCACAGGAGGTCGGTGCCACGTCTCTCCCAGCCCTGCAGTCTCCACCCAAGCCTGGGGAATCTCCCGTACCCACCTCTGGATTTCTGGTGAGAGCTTGTGACCCTACTCAGCCGGTTGGTAGAGACGGTATTCATCTTGCAGACCCACGGTCAATACCTGTAGGGGTCTCCCTTCTCTGTCTGTGACTTCCATCCCATGTGGTTGGAAATGAATCTGTGCATGGACTTTGCTCAGGAGGTCTCTGCCCAGCAGGGGGTTGGGGCATTCTGGAATCACCAAGAAGGCCTGTTGAACAGTCTTGTACCCCAACTTAACTTCTCGGTGAGTGGTCCATGGATAGCACTTAGTGCCAGTGTCCCCCTGTACCCAGCTCTTTTGGGAGGAGATGGGCCTGGCACTCTGTGTTAAACAGAGTGTTGGGCCCCAGTGTCCACCATAAAACCCATTGGTTCCCCCTCAATCTGTAGAGTTACCCAGGATTTGGGGAGGGGGCCCGAATCCTGACCCCCTCAGTCACTGTCTTCTCCCGCATACATCACCCGATGTTTAGGGGCCCCATTGGGTTTTAGTCCTCGCAGGGCATGAGGGCGACGCAGATGGGGGCACTCATTCTTCCAGTGCCCCGTTTTTTTGCAGTAGGCACACTGGGTGGACTTTAGGTTTCCGGGGAAAGGCCCTTCTTTTTCTTTATTCCAAACTAAGCTGCCATTTCCTGGGCAGTGCAGCTGTAAACCCCTCTGTACACCCCATGTCCTCTCTCCACCACTTTCTCTCCCTTTAAGGGGCCCAAGGAGCCTCGGAGTGGACAGCTGTCCTGGGCCCCCAAGTGGAAGATGCGGGCCAGTTCCTTTTGATTCTTACGGTTTTCTTCTGCCCTAACTTTACTCTCTTCCATCTGGATCTTGTCCTCTCTTTCTTCGGGGTTTCTCAGTTGTTGTAGACCCGCTCTGCTATTCGGAGTAGGTCTTGTATAGTTTGCTCCCTGAGTCTATCTTCTGTAACTTTCTCCTAATATCAGGGGCTGCCTGGTTGAGAAAAGCTAAGACTAAGGCGGCCCTTGTCTCATCTGCTGAAGGGTCTAGGGGAGTGTATTGCCTAAAGGCTTCCATTAATCTCTCAAGGAAAGCGGCTGGGCTCTCGTGGGGCTCCTGTCTAATGGAATTTACCTTGGCCAAATTAGTGGGCTTCCTGGCAGCTGCCCAGAGACCGGCCATCAGAGTCTGGTGGTAGACTCGGAGATGCTCCCTACCTTCTGCCTTTTCAAAATCCCAGTTGGGGCACGTTAAGGGGAATCCTTCATCGATGAGATGGGGCTGCATGGTGGGATGGCCGTCGATGCCTGGCACCAGTTTGCAAGCCTCCGTGAAGATCCTCTCCCTTTCCTTGGTGGTGAAAATTACTTGGAGGAGCTGCTGACAGTCCTCCCAAGTAGGACTGTGGGTGAAAAGGATAGATTCTACCAGGTCAATAAGACTCTGGGGTTTCTCAGAGAAAGGGGCATTTTGGGTTTTCCAATTATAGAGATCACTAGAGGAGAAAGGCCAGTATTGATAATTACGACCCCCATCGGGCCTCCGGGGCCCGATTGCTCAGACCAGAAGGGCTTGGATGTTGGAGTCGTCTGAATCCATGTCCGTGGAGGCAGAGGATTTGCTAGTCTGGTGTCTACCCCTGGTGCCAAAAGCTGGCCCCCCTGGTAGCTGTCCCTGGGTGGGGCGGACAGGATTGGGCTCACTGCCGGCCCGTGGATATGGGGCAGGGAGAGGCGGTAATGCTGGTGCAGTGGGTTGGACTGCTTCGGCCTCCAAATCAAGAGCACTAGGATAGGGGGCCGACTCTGAGAGGACCTTGGAGCCTGCCGGCTTCTTGTCCGAGGTGGTTTCTATCATGGCTTGGACTGCTGGGGGTGGTGGCCCCGGGGGGTAGGTGCCGTGGGAGCGGGTGGAAAGAGAAAAGGTTTTAGCCAGTGTGGGGGATTCTTAACAAGGTACTGCCAGGTGAGTATGTAGGGGGCCTGGTCGGGGTGGCCTCCGGGCCCTGGGTCCATGACTCTGTCTCGAACCGCCTGAATCACAGAGAGGGCGAAAGGTCCCTCTCAGGGCCATCCCACACCAAAGGCGGGCCATTCTGAGGAACACAAGGTTATGAGTTTGCTCTTCCGGACTTCCAAGCTAAGATTACGAGCCTCAGTTCTGAAATCAGAAAAATGGTCAGTCATGAGGGTCAGTGGTGAAGATTGCTCTTGTCCCATAGTTGGATGATGGCTGTGAGAGTAAGAGTGATAGAGGGAAAAACTCAGAACTGGCCAGACAAAACAAACAGGACAGTATGACTAACAAAAGTAAATAATGACAACACATATCAGGACAATAAGACTAACAAAACCAGCCAAAAAACAAATTCTCCCAGAAGTCTGACAGAACTATCTTTCAGATAGTCTTCTCTCTAGAGAAGACTGACCCCAGAGACCCAGGACCATTCGCTATGGTCCTGAGCCTGCAACAGCCTCCCAGCATGTCCGCTAGCCCCGGACTTACATTGCCCTGAACCAGACGGAGGCAAGTCCTGTGGAAGGACTTCTGCCTCCTGGGTCAACTGCCTCCCAGCGCGATCACCAGCCCTGGCCTTACATTGCCCTGAACCAGATGGAGGCAGGTCCTATGGAAGGACTTCTGCCTCCTCTATTCCAACTGGCCTGCGGCTGGTGTGACTAGTCAGTTTCAGATTCAATAAAGACCTTACCTGGTGGTTGGGGCTGCTGCTCCTCACAGGAATCCCAGATGAGCCCCCAAATGTGCCCCGTTTCCTTGAGTCCCCCATGTGGAGCCGCAGTCACCAGCCTCAGTCGCGAGATGTAAGAGCAAAACAGGTCTTTATTGCTCGTTCGAACTAGGGTCTCAGTGGCCCGTCAAAACACAGGACTTGGTCTGAGACCCTGAACAAAGTTCCCTTTTCACTTTTATACTTTTGGAACAGGGGCTTTTCAAGGGGGGGTGGTCTATTGTGACCTTAGCTGATTGGCTGAGGAGGGTTGCTGGGCAAGGTTTCCGCAGGAATGGGCGTGGCTTGAGCGGGAAACTTTTTACTCAAAATGGGGGACAGAAAACAAAATGGAGGGACATAGTTATTCAAAATGGAAGACACAAAATGGAGGCAGGAGTCATGTAGGGGACACAGCTATTCAAGATGGGGGACACAAAATGGAGTCAGGGGGTCATGTAATTATTCAAGATGGAGGACACAATGGAGGCAGGGTCCCGCAGTCCCACAAGAAGACTTTGTCTTCTCCAGTCAGTCACTGCCAGGGTGGAATGAACTAAAGAGGGCCTTGAGCCTTGAGTGTGTGGGGGGTAAAACTGCAGTATTTCCAGAATCCCTCACCTGGCCTTAGTCTCTATACACACCCCGCTGCAGCTTCTCGCAGGCTCTGTGGCAAGGGGTGGGGAGAGGCTGTTCTCCCCTCCTGCTGTGTAATTGGCCTGACCCCGTCATCTGCCAGGGATCCATCCACAGAGCTTCTCCTATATGGACAGGGTGGGGAGGCGAGTGCGCCGTGACCGCCTGGAGGAGGAGAGTGGCAGCCCGAGGGGCAAACGGAGCCGGGCCTCACTGTGAGCAATGAGCAGGTTTCTCCCATTGATGCTGGAAGTCTAGCCTTCCCGTCACACTGGGTCATTCTTCCTGGGCTGGGGGGAGTGCTGCCCCCCAGAGCCACAGAATGGAGTGATCACCTCACCGCTGTGCACTGTTAGCCTCTGGGAGTGAGGACCTGGAAAGGCTGGATGCGAGGAAGGAGGTGCCCATGAATGTGCAGAGAACACAGCGCCCCCTGGAGTCCCACGGCCATCTGCAGACCTAGAGGGAAGGAAACGTTAAGAGCTCAGTGGCTCATTCTGGCCCCACCCTGGGGTCTCCACCCTGCTCCAGGTCCTTGATCACAGGCTTATCGAAGCCACCATTAGGTCGCAGGCAGAGGGCCAAACCTCTAGGCAGATAGCAAATAAGAGCGAGTTAATCCCTTCACACTGTATTCCAAGCCTGCCTATCAACTCTTGAATTCTCTTGATTCTAGACAGGATGAGTTACTAATAGGTGGGAGACCCAGGACTGAAGAACTCTGGGTGGGAGCCTTTTCTGTGACCTTCACTAAACACCCAACCCAGGGGCTCCTCCCAAGGGAAAAGTGGGGACTTACAAAGCTGGGAGACCAGCCTACGGTTACAGTTGCCTAGGCAGTCTTGCCTGGCTCCCAGTCCTTGCTAATTTCAGCAGGACAGGCCATCAGATGGGATTTGTCACGTGGTAGGGTGGGGGCAGGGGCAGAGTGACCTGCCGAAATGGAGTGTGTTGGGGGGTGCAGGCCAAGAGGGGTCCACTGCTCTCTGTCTCCAGCGCAGCTTCCCTCTCCTCTGGCCTCACCATATAGGAAAGCAGCAGGATGCAGAGCGGTTGCTCCACACGGATCCTACACTTTGTGCCACACATGCTGTGCCCAGTGGGCCAGGCTGCCCCGAGGTGTTCCCAGGGTTGAGACCTGCTCCAGGGATGCCCTGGTCCAGATGACAGCAAGAATAGGCCCCATCCTGCAGGCCTGTCAGGACCCCAACATGTGGTTCTGGGAGCAGGTGGGGATAGGTTGAGGGGGCACAGGCTGCTCCAGCCTTGGTGTCTCCCAGGAGCCAGGCCCTGCCTATAGGCCCCCTCCAATAGGCCCCCAAGGCTGCAGCCTGGAAGTACCACTGGCCTGACCTCTTCCCGGCCACCATATACCCACAGGGTCTGCCAGGACCCTCTCTGATAAGCCCCCAGGACAGCACCCCTGGAGTGCCCCTCGCTGCTGACTGGCGCACCGCCTTCTTCCACCCGGCCTCCCCAGCGGCCCGAAGCCCCACTCCTTCTGCCAAAGTGCCGAACATCTGGCTGCCCCACCATCTCCCGGCCCTGTCTCCCCACTGGCCTGAAACCCCACCCCCTCGGCAGGACTGTCTCCCAGTCCCGTGCTCCGCTCCGGCCTGAAGCCCCGCCACGACTGCAAGTGTCAACACTCCGCCCCCTGAAGCCTGTCACCTATTCTCACCAACCCTTCCACTCCCTAATTTCATTTGTATGTACATGAAAACAAACAAGAAAAAACAAATACATGATAAATCATTTAATTAAATCATAGCAATTACCAGACATGTGATAAAGGAAGAATAAAGTTTTTTTGTGTGTAGAAGAATCAATTGTATGTCTCTTTCTTAGAAACATTTTATCTGTTAAGAATACAGAAATGCTTTTATATCTGAGTCATAACAATTTAACAATCAATTTTAGTAGGTATTTTCCAGAATTAATGTAGTTCGATAACTTTAAATATCCTACAAAATAAAAACAGACTCACAAACACAGGGAACAGACTGGTGGTTACCACTGAGAGGGGACAAAAAATAGGTGTATAGGGTAGAGTTACAAACTTAAATTTATTAAATTTAGTCACAGGGATGGAAGTACAGCACAGGCAATAGAGCTAATAATATTGCACTAAATTTACGGTCACATAATAACTACACTTATCATGGCGAGGCTTTGGTACCATAAACAATTGATGGATCATTTTGTTGTTTATCTGAAACAAACATCATGATGTTTTTAATCATATGTTTCAAGGAAAACGTTTTAAGGAATAAAGGAAGAATAAAATGGCCGATGGTGTCTAAAGGTGAAGAAACTAGAAAAAATAGATTCACATCATATTCAATTCTCATTCTCCTTAAAACAAACATTCCAACATGTGTCTCATTATTCAGGGAACTATGAGGACTTATGGAAATTGAACCTCTTGTTCGTAGCCCACCCGTCTCCCACCAGCACAGACCCATAGGGGTCTGTCAGGACCTCCTCCCATTGGGTATGCCAGGACCACTCCAATAGGCCCAAAGGTGGCACCCCTCTAGTGGCGGTAATCTGGGTCCTCCCCCACCAGCACAGACATACAGTGGCCCTCCAGGAACCCTCCAATAGGCCCCAAGGCTACAGCTCTGGAGTACCACTGGGCCGAACACTTCACCAGCACAGACCACAGAGTCCTCCAGGACCCACTCTGAAAGGCCCCTTAGGCTGCACCCCTGGAGAGCCGGTGTCCTGGCCTCTCCCCTGCAAACACAGACTCATAGAGGTCCCCAAGGACTGGCGCTGATAGTCCCCAAGGCTGCAGACCCATTCCCCAGCAGCACAGACCATAGGGTCTGCCAGGACCCTGTCTGATAGGTTCCCAAGGCTGCACCCCTGGACTGGTGCTCAGCCGACCATCACTCGCCTGCACAGACACGTAGGGTCGGCCGGGACCCCCTCCGAGAGGCCTCAAAGACTGCAGCCCAGGAGGACCACTGTCTCGACACCTCCCCTACCAGCACAGACTCACAGGGTTCCACCAGGATCCCCTCCGATAGGTCCACAAGGCTGCAGCCATGCAGTGCCGCTGACGCTTAACCTCCACCTCCAGCACACACCATAGGGTCTGCCAAGACCCTCTCTGATAGGCCCCCAAGGTTGCACCCTTGGAGTACCATTTTCCTGGGCCCTCCCCCACCAGCACTGACCCATAGAGGTAGTCCAGGAACCCTCTGAGAGGCCCCAAAGGCTGCAGCCCTGGAGTGCCTCTGTGTCGACCCCTCCTGCACCAGCACAGACCATAGAGTCCGCCAGGGCCCCCACCGACAGGCCCCAAAGGCTTCAACTGGGAAGTGCCGCTGAGCCAACCACTCCCCCATCAGCACAGACACATAGGGGTCTGCCAGGACCCCCTCTCATTGTTCCCCAAGGATCCAGCCCTGGAGTGCCACTGGCTGGACCCCTCCTCCAACAGCTCAGATCATAGGGTCCCTCAGGCCCCCTCCCATCTGCCCCCAGGGCTGCACCCTTGGAGTGCTGCTTTCCCAGAGTGCCCCCACAGCACACACTGATAGGGGTATGCCAGGACCCCTCTGATAGGTCCCAAGGCAGCACCCCTCAAGTGCTGTTATCCCAGCTACTCCCCGCCAGCACAGACACAGAGTGGCCCTTCAGCAACCCTCCAATAGGCCCCAAGGCTGCAGCCCTGGAGTGCCACTGAGCAGACTCCTTCCCCACCAGCATGGTCCCACAGAGGTCCGCCAGGACCTGCTCTGATAGTCAAACAGCTGCAGCCATGGAGTGACTGGGAAGACCCCCTCCCCCACCAGCACAGACCACACCGTCCACCAGGTCCCCATCCGATAGGTTCCCAAGGCTGCACCCCTGGAGTGGTGCTCAGCCAACCATCACCTGCCTGCACAGACACATAGGGTTCACCAGGACCCCCTGCAAGAGGCCCCAAAGGCTGCAGCCCTGGAGGGCCGCTGTCTCGACACCTCCCCTACCAGCACAGACCCACAGGGTTCTGCCAGGATCCCCTCCGATAGGCCCCAAGGTTGCAGCCCTGGAGTGCCGCTCCTCTGCCCGACCCCTCCTCTGCCAGCATAGACCATAGAGTCTACCAGGACCCCTACCTATAGTCCCACAAGGCTGCAGCCCCATAGTGCCGCAGTCTCGGCCCCTCCCCCGCCAGCACAGCTCCATGGGGGTACATCAGGGCACCTTTGATAGGCCCCAAGGCTAACCCTGGAGTGACAATGTCCCTGAGCCTCCCCCGCAGGACAGACCCATTGGGGTATGCCAGGGCACGTCCGAGAGACCCAAAGGCTGCCCCCCTGGAGGACCACTTGCCCGAGCCCTCCCCCACCAGCACAATCTCATAGGGGTCCGCCAGGATCCCCCCCCGATAGGACCCAAGTCTGCAGCCCTGGAGTGACTCTGGCCCGACCCCTCCCCTGCCAGCACAGACCATAGGGTCCGGTGGGACTCCCTCTGATAGGTCCACAAGGCTGCAGCCATGGGGTGCCACTGGCGCTTACCCTCCACTGCCAGCACACACCATAGAGTCTGCCAAGACCCTCTCTGATAGGACCCCCAGGCTGCACCCCTGGAGTGCTGTTTTCCCAGCCCCTCCCCCACCAGCACTGACCCATATGGGCAGTCCAGGAACCCTCTGATAAGCCCCAAAGGCTGCAGCCCTGGAGTGCCTCTGTGTCGACCCCTCCTGCACCAGCACAGACCATAGAGTCTGCCAGAGCCCCCTCCGACAGACCCCCAAATCTGCAGCCGGGAAGTGCCACTGAGGCTACCTGTCCCCCACCATTACAGACCCATATGGGTCTGCCAGGAACCCCTCTCATAGTGCCCCATGGATCCAGCCCTGGAGTGCCACTGACCAGACCCCTCTCCCAACAGCTCAGATCATAGGGTCCACCAGGCCCTCTCCCATCTGCCCCCAAGGCTGCACCCTTGGAGTGCTGCTGTCCTGGAGCATCCCCCACAGCACACACCCATAGGGGTACACCAGGACCCCTCCAATAGGCCCCAAGGCGGCACCCCTCAAGTGCCACTATCCCGGGCCATCCCTGCCAGGAGACACCGAGTGGCCCTCCAGGAACCCTCCAATAGGCCCCAAACCTGCAGCTCTGGAGTGCCGCTGGGCCGACCCCTTCCCCACCAGCACAGACCACAGAGTCCACCAGGACCCCCTGCAGTTGGCCCCAAAGGCTGCACCCCTGGAGTGCTGGTGTCCCGGCCCCTCCCCTGCCAACACAGACTAAAAGAGGTCCCCCAGGACCCGCTCTGATAGTCCCCCAAGGCTGCAGCCCTGGAGTGCTGCTGGGCAGCCCCCTCTGCCACCAGCACGGTCCCACATAGGTCTGCCAGGACCCTCTCTGATAGTCAAACAAGGCTGCAGCTATGGTGTGACTCTGGGAAGACCCGCCCCCCACCAGCACAAACCACACGGTCCACCAAGTCCCTGTCGCTTGGTTCCCAAGGCTGCACCCCTGGAGTGGCACTCAGCCAAACATTACCAGCCTGCACAGACACAGGGTCTGCCAGGACCCCTCCCAGAGGCCCCAAATGCTGCAGCCCTGGAGGGCTGCTTTCTCCACACCTCCCCTACCAGCACAGACCCACAGGGTTCCGCCAGGATCCCCTCTGATAGGTCCATAATGCTGCAGCCCTGGAGTGCTCTGTCAACCTCTCCCCCACCATCAGACCATATAGTCTGCCAGGGCCCCCTCCGACGGGCCCCCAAGGCTGCAGCCAGGAAGTGCCACTGAGCCGACCCCTCCCCCACCAGCACAGACCCATAGGGTTCCACCAGGACCCCCTCCTATAGTGCCCCATGGATCCAGTTGCTGGACCCCTCCCCCAACAGTTCAGGTCATAGGGTCTGCCATGCCCCTTCCCATCTGCTCCCAAGGCTGTACCCTTGGAGTGCTGCTCTCCCATAGCATTTCCCACAGAATTCACCCATAGGGTTATGCCAGGACCTCACCGATAGGCCCCATGGTTGCAACCCTGACGTGCCACTCTCCTGGACCCTCCACTGCCAGCACAGACACAAAGAGTCCCTCCAGGAACCCTCCAATAGGCCCCAAGGCTGCAGCTCTGGAGTGCCACTGGACCAACCCATTCCCCACTGTAAGATAAATTCTAGCTGAAATAAGCAGGTGACAACAGGCAAGAAAGGGCCAGGCAGTTTATTTGAGTGCAATTCCCGGGTGAGGTTCACCATTCTGCAGGATCGCAGGCTGTGGAAGTTGCACCCAGTAGGGGAGGCTGGGAGTTTTTAAGAGAACAGGAAAGGGAGGGAAAAGTGGGCCACGTTGGGGGTAGGTGTGGAATTTTTATTGGCTCAATGTCGGGACAGCCAGAGGTCTCCTTCTGGATGGAGGGGGTCTGCATCCAGGGTTTGTCAGCACATCATGGGACTGGAATCCAGGAAGAGCTGTTCATTCCTTCCCCATATGGCACAGAGCTACTTGGCGCTGTCTCTGCTCCTCCTGCACTGTCCTTCCCCTTCTCCCTCCAGTATCTCCAACCTTACATTCCAGCCTTTTGGTCATAATGGGCGATGACTCTATCTGTCTACTGGCTGACGAGGCGTTGTGGGGGGTTGAGGCTGGTATTAGGCCGAAGGAGAGGGTTTAGTGGAGAGAGGTGCATAACGATGGAGCAACATCTGATTAGTGGCAACCAGGGTTATCTCAGTTAGCTTCTGTTGGAGGAACTTGAAGACACAAGGGGCAATTAAGAGTACACCACAAACCGTTATTAAGGGGCCCAGTAGAGGCATTAGCCAGGCTATCATGGGGGACTGAAGCCACCCATAAG